AGAATTTGGGCTGGTACTCAGAAGAAAGAATTTTCCCTGTTTTCATTACTGAGACTTCAAGATACCCTAAGAAACAGCTTTGCAAGCAGATAATATCTTTCCTTTTTAGTCATCGTTGAATCAGTCTATTAGGTGGCTCACATGGAGTCAATTGTAGTGTACTGGTAAAGTTTTTTAGAAGATCCTTAAAAGAAAAATCATTACTTGCCCTCCTTAAAGTTCAGTGTATTTCCCCAAAGCGTTGATGTACTAGGCTTCTCCAGTGAAATACCAGTTGCATGCATTTTGCTGAAGTTCCCCAGCATTTTTGATTGGATATGATATTCATAATTTCCTGTTTAAATTGTTTTATAGTACTACTGGTAAGTAGGTGGTGTGCTGTTTTTCTAGGTCATTTCATTGGTAAGAAAAAACTCTGCTGAGAGGATGAGCATTAGGATCCCATACTGGAAAAAAAAAACAACTGTGTCATGTTTATTCTATTTGCTGGTGATTAGAGAATTGGCTAAACCCACACAGGGGCTTTTTTGTGCTGTTTTGCCATAATAGTGCTTTAATGTTGGTAAATAGAATTTAGTATGCTTATCTGTAAGTGACTTGGATTTCAGCTGTGCTCATCAGCCATAGTTTCTGTTGGCACTGAACAGGGCTTCTCTACCTTTTGAAAATGAGATAATACAGATTTCATGCATTATGCTTAATGACATCCAGTAGAAATTATTTTATCTATTTATTGAGTCATAACTGCTTGCTCAGCAGAGGAGCCTTTTTGTTTGTGTAACTGGAGAAAGATAGTAATTTGCTTATGTTGCCTGAATGTCTACATTAGAGTATTTCTGATCATTAAGTGAAAAAAGCCCATTCTCAAGAGGGCTGTGCATTCCAAATGCGATCTGTGAATCAATGACTGCAATTAGTTCCCTTCAGTGGTCTTGAGGCTCCTACCTGAGACCTTTTTCTTTGATGGTACAAATGACTACTGTAATACCTCATGAGGGGGCAGAGCCCAGGTTTGCAAAGCGCAGTGGAAATGGATTCTTTCACCTCCTACCTCTTCCTTCCTGTTAATGATCCTTTTTCTGACCCAGGGTACTCTGCCATGTTACTTCTGCTCTGTCTACAGAGAGACCATCTAATGTCTGCAATGCCAGGCACCTCCACTCTTTCAATTGCTGTAGCAGTGAGAGACAGAAGAAGGAATAATTGTATGTAAGTGGAAGCTGCTGAAGGTGAAAACAGCATGCAATTGTGTGCACAGCTCCAGTTCAGCAAAACTGCTCATTTCGTATTCTCACTGTACCATTTTTCTAAACTTCCCATCTCAATTTGTTAGACATTCACTTAAAATTTTGTCAAAGGTTCTGCTCAAGTGTTTCAAAAAGTATCAGATTTGAACTGCAGTCGGACTGGTAAATTTTCTTCAAAATAAACCGGAGTAACAATTATAAATTAAAGAAAGAGGGTTGACTATGCCACGTCATCTTAACGTTGTGATAGCGAAGGGACGCAGGGTGATGCTGGAGCCCGCAGCGCTGTGAGGAGTCCCCCCTCTTCCAGCAGAGGTCACTGGTCCCCTGGATGTGCAGATGGAGCCTGCAACTCAGAACTGACATTGCTCTGAAAATCCTAACCCGCTTCTAAGGTGATCAACCTATGGATAGAATTTCTTAACTGAAAGGTTGGTTTTGGGTTTGGTTGTTTTTTTTTTTTTTAAAGACAAAGAATTACCTCAATATGTATCAATTTAAAACATAATTTAAGATATGTTAAATAATAATTTTTACATTATATTAATAATAATTAAAATAATTTAAAGTAATTAAATAAGTAATTTAAAAGTAAATGGGAGAAGACACAATTCTAGTTTAGCTTGCATCTTTTCTCTGAATTATTTTTTAACCATTAATTTCTTTATAGCCTCTTAGTTTTGAAAAACAAATGGTCTATTTTTGCTTGCACAAGCCTCACGTGTCTATTTATGATTTTTTTTTTCTTGCTGCTTCAGAGGCTTTTCATAGTTTTTAAAATGCAGGTTTAGCCAAATAGTTTATAATTATCATGCCCAGTATGAAAATTTTATGTGAGACACCCGAAAATGCCACATACAGAACACCTATTCATACCATTTTTTGGCATTTTTGCAATTTCTCTGTAACAGATTGAGTGAGATAATGAGCAGGAACTGGGAAGAAAACTAGAGGAAAGATGGACAAAATAAGGTAGGAGGTAAAAAAGGAGTACTGATTTTGAGACAACAGAATAGGAAACAGTCTAATAAGAGATAAAGGATGGGAGGTATTCCTGAGGGCAAGTCAATTCAGATATTGGGAAAAGCAGAGCAATCCAAATGATTCATACCTGAAGACAGAAAATATGGAGGGCACCGTGGTGCTCTGGAAGCCAAATGCTTTAAGGTTAGGTTGGGTGTAGGGATTTGGAGTCCTTTGGATGGATGTCTATCACCAATGGACCGCAGAAGCCCTTACTTCAATCTTAGCAGTGTCAGTCTTTTGTGTCTTATTTCTCCTTTGTTTTGCAATACACTGTCTGTTGTGCACCATTGCACATTACATATGCATATAATGAATATTGTGGTACCAGGATTACTTTTAAAGCAATATATGTTACTCAGAAGCGTGTGCTTTCTGTTGAGCTCTTTTATGTTGTTGGGCAATTTTTCCTTCATCCCTCTGGTGTGTGGTGGTTCTGTTACTCCTCCTTGTGCTGACAGCCCAACCCCAGCTGCAGCTGTCTTGAGCTCAGTGAACAACTTGCAGCACAAACTCTCATTGCATTGCTCATCCACAGCCCCTGCTTTTGGCAGGGACAAGCCCGGCAGCAGAAGCTTGGGTTACAGGCAGGATCAGGCCTCCTGCAGTCAGCCTGATGCTGTATCGCACTCGGAGCTCCAGGTGGTTCCAGATGCTTCAGACAGCTCTGGTAGCTGAAGCTGTGGAGACAAAAGGAGGCAGCTCTGTGTCAGGCGACTCTGTTGGGTACCAGAGCGAAGAGAAATGTGCAGCTGGATGTAACATAAACCACGGTTCAGCTGCTCGCTCTGCATGGTTACAGATGCTTTAAAGGAAGCTTTAAGGAGGAGCTGCTTGGAGGCATGATGGCCTTTATGCCCTTGGTACTCTGTAAACATCATAAATCACAGCTTGAAAATAACACTTCAGTACTGTACAGCCCACATACCTCATAGATGGCGGGGGTGTTGTTTTGAACTATACATGGCAGTTTCAGGTTAATTAAATGTTGATATAAGACTTTTATTTAATCTACTTTAGCAATATGCATCTGCCTGCTCCCAAATCTTAATTCTCTTCTTACAAACTTTTCTTCAAAGTCTGAAAACACTGTGGGGCTTGAGAAGGTGGGGCTTCACCCAGCGTGAAGTGTTCAAATATAACCCTACTAAGACTTAAGAGTTAACTGCTGACCAGACCCTACTCTATATTTAGAGAAAGTGTTTACAAATCTTGAGCGCAGGAGTACAGAAGATACCCTGGGAATTCTTCCAACTCTTCTGACCGAGTTCTGTCTTTGGAAAGTGCTAATGAGTAACTTTTTTCTGATGTCATTTTAAGAAATCCAGGACAATGATAGCAGAGTGTATTCAGTTATGTGGACGTCAAAACTCTATTGGAAATGCAAACATATGCTGGAAATATTTTCTGAAATTGAAATTATAGGCATCTTCACAAACAAAATTGCAAGATTGCTGAAAGTTATTTTAAGTATCAGAATTTTTATTGTCCCCATCCTGGGCACACTAAATCCCCCTCCTAATGTGTCTGTTACATCTAAGGATAGCAGGAGTGAAGTTATATTTAATCAGCAACACAAAATCAAAGGCAATGGCACGTGAAAACATACACTACAAGTCTTGACCCACTGATGTGTTTAACTTTTAAACAATTCCACGGAATTCATTTCTATTCAGGGTTAATTTCTATTAAAATAACAATGAGGGACACAAAAATTTGCTGCCTTTCTTCTCCCTGACTACATACCAGCTTAGCTACTTAAAATTATTGCCAGAATTTTGGCCACGGGTTATGCATACATAGGTATCACAATAGGTTTATCCTTTGCCTGTTTAAAGGACAAGGATACAAAGGTGGCCTCAATGCCTGTGTATAACAACATTCTTGGAATTTTGTCCTGGAGACAATCTGAAACTGTTTGAGACTGGGTAATCTCTGTTGTGGCTTTGGAAAAGTAAATTACTTAGTTCTTAGAGAGCACAGAAGAAACTGTACCACTGTGACCCTTTTTAAACCTATTCTAGGGGAGATATTGAAAGAAAAGTTTTTTTGAACATTGAAGTTTTAGAGAATTTAGTCTAAAACAGAAACTAGAGCACTGGTAATAGCTAGCAGGGCTACGAGGTTTGTAGTAACAACGAGAGATTTCTTTCTTCTTTTTGTTGTTGTTTAAAATGCATAGCTTAAAGTGTTTATACTGCTTTGATTTTGCAGTCTACACGTAAAGTAGCCATATGCATTCTGCTGAAGATGAGGCCATGGGACTACTAGCCATTGCCAAAATCAAGTATAAACCAAACTATTTTCCTTATATTTGAGTGGAGATAACTAGCTACACAGAGTATCAACCATACAGATTTTGTTTATATGAGATTTAACCACTCCAGCTGATTTATCATATGTTTGTCTTCAGGGATTCTTGGAGTTCTGCCAAACTGCATTTGAGATTTGCTTTTCAGATTTCTAGTTTCTTGTATTTAATAGTGATATTCTTACTAGAATTCTTATAAATTGAGACTATCTATGTAAGATGTTTAACTGTTATTTGAGTTTTAAAGCATCTCTGGGTGGTTCTATTTTTCCTTCCATTTTCTTTGATGAGAGTAAATCACTACCCCTTTCTCTTTCAGACATCTAAGAATGGTTTAGATTTTATTCCTGTGATGTTCTATGAACATGGGAAGTATTTTAATTATGTTCTATGCATTTTTTTTTTTTGTTATGCATCAGGACTTCTCTTGCTATGTACTGCCCCAATCTTCTATAAAGGAGAGCAAAATATCTGCTGAAGTGAATACACCAATGTATGTAGATTATCACTTCTGAAACTGAGAAGTGTTGAGAAGATAAAACCAGCTTTTCCAAATCCTCTTCAAGGGAATGGAAGAACATCCAAATGGGAAGATCAAGAGCTAAGGGTCTGATTTTACTCCCAGGAAAGATAGGGAAAGGCAGGAGTGTGCTTTCACGTCTAGAGTTGCTGCTGCTGCTTGGTTTCTCACACTGAACTGAGCAGAAAGAAAAGACTAAACCATCTGAGTGGCTGTATGGGACCAGTGTAACAGTCTATTTAATCTGGTGTCCTGCTCTCCACAGTAGTTGGAAACTGGTGCTTGAAGAGAGCACTGAAACGGGGCAGATGAAGAGTGTTCTTTCTTGGGCAACTTTCAGCAGGCAAAGGACCACCACCTTTTAAGCAGGAACTGCAAAGGAAATTATTGTGCTTAACAGCTACAGCTATCTTTCTTTCATTTGTATAATCCCTTCTTAAAAACATCTGTCTCTTCAACTCCATAGCGTTGTACAGCAGCAAGCCATCTGATTTAATAGCACTTTGTATGGAAAAGTTCTTAAAAGTTCTGTTTTAAACCAGCTGCCTGATCATTCACTGAGTCTCCCTGAAGTCTTGTGTGATGCAAAATAGCGCACGATCATTTCCTGTTGGCTTCCTATGTGTAATTCTGGATTTTATAGATCAGAAGACAACTCTTTGTCAGTCTGTTCTCCAGATGGAAATTATCTCCTCATACAGACGTATTGCCATACCTCTGCATATATTATTTTAGGCATACATGCATTTTCTAGTTCCACATTTTCATATGAAGGAACCGGAACTGTACACAGCACTCAAGCGCACAGGAGATTTACATAGGGATGTAATGAGCTCTTCTGCTTTGTTCTTGGCTTCTTTTGGAGTAATTTCTAACATTGTTTGCCTTTTGGACTACTGCTGAGCAACAAGCTAATGCTTGCGAAAAACTACTCACAATGACTCTAAATGAGAAAGGCTAATTTAGAGCCCATTATTACGTGTGTTTATTTAGGGTTATTTTCATTACTGTTTACATTAATTTGCAGTTATTGACATAGACTTTCAGCTGCCGTCTCGGTGCTCTATCACTTGCTATTGTCAGATCCTTCTGTAACTGCTCAGTCAGCTTTTGTTTTGCTTACTGTGAGTAATTTTGTACCATTGGGAAACCGTGAAGATCCTTGGTCCTCACACAAGTAGTTTTAGCCTATTTCAGTGCAACAGCTTTTGGCCAGAAGTATTCTAAGTGATTCAGCCCTAAGGAGGACCCACAGAAGAAAGTAAATAATACTGTGTTGGTGGTCAGTTTCTGTGAAAGAAAGAGGACATTGATCTGGTTCCTACTTAGAATGGAGTTACCTGATATTGGTCCTGATGGCAGCTGTGTTTTCTGATTCTTGGAGATGTCTCTTCAGTCTCCTGATGCTCCTGTGCTCCAGGGTGCGTTGTTTCCATTTTGCTGGCACTTGCCTTTTGCTGCCTTTACCGCATGTGCCTGCTATGAGCCTCCCACTGCCTCCTGAATTCTTCCTCTGCCTAATTTGTTTTATTATCAGACACTCTTTAATGCTCTTTGGTGCTCTACTTCATGCTCGTTCTTCAAAGCATTTCCAGTTCACTGGTTACTACTGCTGTATTCTCGCAGTTTTGCATAATTCGAATTAATTTGCAAAAAAGACAAGGTGTAATATGCAAAAATCTTTAATAAAAACATGTGTCTTCTACCTATGCCTTGCCTACGGGTACCGTTTTGCCAAACACACACAAACCCTGACAATAAATGACAGCAATGAAACAACAATATTCCTATTATGGGAGAAAAAAAATCTTTTCTTAAGATTCTGTAAGTAAATATTTTCAAGGCTCATAGGTCTGCTTATCCTTAGCATATGGGTGGTAAGAGAACATTTCTTGTTATATGTGGTAAGCTTCCCTGCTTCTTGAATTAAACAATGGGACATTTTAAAGGTTGCCATGTATTGTGGAGAGAATTCTATGGTTTAAACTGTGGAGGTTTTATCTTTGCATGGAGAATTTAACTATGTTTTGTGGTTTTCTTTTTGAGGAACGTGCCTCCCCATTGTTAATAAGACTAAACTTGAGGAGAACTGGTGAAGTTTTTGGAGGGACAAAAATAGAATATAGCTTCTTTCCTGTGTTTATATTCTTTATATTTCTTTCTCTCCGTGGTTTGCTTTCTCAGGCTGCAGATGTTGAGTGCCCTTTTGATTGAAATGAATAATGGTGTTGTTGAATAGTGTCCTTAAGAGTTGTGTCCTTTATATCTTTGCTCTGTTACTTATTTCTTTTAAGAGAAAAATAAGTGACTACATTTTTGATATTATCAAGCTTTCCATAATGGATGTGGCTTGTTACTTAATCTTTCCATGGATCTATCTTTTCTATGGATCTGTGGTATTTCTATTAATCTTTCTTGAACATAGTAAGTTCCATCTAAACATGAGGAGGGACTTCTTCACTGTGAGGGTGGCAGAGCCCTGGAACAAGATGCCCAGAAAGGTGGTGGAGTCTCCGTCGACATTCAAAACCCACCTGGACACGTTCCTGTGCAACCTGTTCTAGGTGGACCTGCCTATACTAGAAATTACACTAAAAATACTGTGTGAAGGGAACCTTCTCTGAAGGTCTCTGCTTCGAGAGGATAACAGCCACGGCTTGTTGGATACCAGGGTCCACAAAATGGTCCTTTGCTGCACAACGATGCTGCCATATTTGAAACTGCCTGTTTCAGAAATGGGGAAAACACAAACCAGCATCACACAGCCTTTGCTTAATGAATAGTGTAGGCTCAATAATCAGATTTCTAGAATCCTGTAAATCTCTCTACTTTTTCCAAGGAGTTTGCCATTTCCCTCCTTCTCTTATTGAAATTTGCTGGGCAGTGGCATCTATTCCCCTGGGATTTCAATTGATTTTCTTGAACGACAAAATGTATTTCCCATTTTGTTACCGTGAACCAGACAGAAGAGCTAAGCTGGAGGATTTAAATAGGACAGCCAGGAGGAGTCCAGGTTGCTAAGAGAGGCCTCGGAGCCATCCCCTGAGGACAGGATGATGTGCCAGTCCTGGGGACAAGGAGTGACCAGGCTCTAGCAGAAGGACCAGGGTGCCAGAGGCAACTCATTAACCAGACAGGTGAGTCTGCAACCTGTCTCCTCCACAGCAGGGTGACCTGTGCCAGTCAGTAGCTTCTCTACACAAGACAGTCCGGCTTCCCATATCTGCAGGTGTGTCTAAGCCATCAAGGATGTCATGAAGGCTGTGATGGGGGAGAAAAAAAAAAGAGAAAGCTAATACAGATTAAACTAAGGGAGTAATTTCAAGAGTGTGCGGTGTGTTTTTTTCAATGACCTCCCATTATCGGATGACAAAGGCCAAATCTTTGGTGGCGGGGAGGGTGACGGTGCAATGCCGGGTGCGTTACCAGCCCAGCGCGGGGAAAGGCCCCCGGGGGGGCTGCTGCCAGCCCCGCTCCCACGCCCGGCTCTCTCCACGGCAGCCCTTTGTCTGACACCGCCCTCCCACCCGTGGCACCGAGGTCCCTCTTCCTTGAGCACCTCCTCGCCGCTGCCGCCTGCCTCCCGCTTTAACGTTAGCCCTGATCTCATCACCGGAGCCCGTTAACTCGCTGCCCCCCGCCTCCCACACGCCGGCATCAACCCGACTCCGGCTTTTGCTTGGCGCACCGGGGCCGGCTGGCGGGGCGCCGCAGCCGCCTTGGGCAGAAGCATCCCGGCGCCCTCCGCTCCGCACAGCGCAGCCCGGCTTCTCCGGTACCTGTCACCGGGCCCGGCAGGTGGGTACCGGCCGGCGTGGAGGGCACCTTGGCCGGCGAGCGGGGGCGGGGGGCGGCGCGGCGGGGCT